GTGAAGACGGTGAAAACGGTGAAAACGGTGAAAACGGTGAAAACGGTGAAAACAGTGAAAACGGTGAAAACGGTGAAGACGGTGAAGATGAAAACGATGAAAACATTGAAAACGGTGAAAACAGTGAAAACAGTGAAAACAGTGAAAACGGTGAAAACGATGAAAACGGTGAAAACGGTGAAGACGGTGAAAACGATGAAAACGGTGAAAACATTGAAAACGGTGAAAACTGTGAAAACGGTGAAGACGGTGAAAACATTGAAAACGGTGAAAACATTGAAAACGGTGAAAACATTGAAAACGGTGAAAACGGTGAAAACGGTGAAAACGGTGAAAACGGTGAAAACGGTGAAAACAGTGAAAACGGTGAAAACGGTGAAAACGGTGAAAACGGTGAAGACGGTGAAAACGATGAAAACGGTGAAAACAGTGAAAACGGTGAAGACGGTGAAAACGGTGAAAACGGTGAAGACGGTGAAAACGATGAAAACGGTGAAAACGGTGAAGACGGTGAAAACGATGAAAACGGTGAAAACATTGAAAACGGTGAAAACGGTGAAAACGGTGAAAACGGTGAAAACGGTGAAAACGCTGAAAACGGTGAAAACAGTGAAAACGGTGAAAACAGTGAAAACAGTGAAAACGGTGAAAACGGTGAAAACGGTGAAGACGGTGAAAACGATGAAAACGATGAAAACGGTGAAAACGGTGAAGACGGTGAAAACGGTGAAAACGGTGAAAACATTGAAAACGGTGAAAACATTGAAAACGGTGAAAACGGTGAAAACGGTGAAAACAGTGAAAACGGTGAAAACGGTGAAAACGGTGAAAACGGTGAAAACGGTGAAAACGGTGAAAACAGTGAAAACGGTGAAAACGGTGAAAACGGTGAAAACGGTGAAAACATTGAAAACGGTGAAAACATTGAAAACGGTGAAAACGGTGAAAACATTGAAAACGGTGAAAACGGTGAAAACGGTGAAAACGGTGAAAACGGTGAAAACAGTGAAAACGGTGAAAACATTGAAAACGGTGAAAACGGTGAAAACATTGAAAACGGTGAAAACGGTGAAGACGGTGAAGACGGTGAAAACAGTGAAAACGGTGAAAACGGTGAAGACGGTGAAAACGGTGAAAACGGTGAAAACAGTGAAAACGGTGAAAACGGTGAAAACGGTGAAAACGGTGAAGACGGTGAAAACATTGAAAACGGTGAAAACATTGAAAACGGTGAAAACGGTGAAAACATTGAAAACGGTGAAAACGGTGAAAACAGTGAAAACGGTGAAAACGGTGAAGACGGTGAAAACATTGAAAACGGTGAAAACATTGAAAACAGTGAAAACGGTGAAGACGGTGAAAACGGTGAAAACATTGAAAACGGTGAAAACGGTGAAAACATTGAAAACGGTGAAAACATTGAAAACGGTGAAAACATTGAAAACGGTGAAAACGGTGAAAACGGTGAAAACGGTGAAAACATTGAAAACGGTGAAAACGGTGAAAACATTGAAAACGGTGAAAACGGTGAAGACGGTGAAAACATTGAAAACGGTGAAAACATTGAAAATGGTGAAAACTGTGAAAACGGTGAAGACGGTGAAGACGGTGAAGACGGTGAAAACGGTGAAAACGGTGAAAACAGTGAAAACGGTGAAAACAGTGAAAACGGTGAAAACGGTGAAAACAGTGAAAACGGTGAAAACAGTGAAAACGGTGAAAACGGTGAAAACGGTGAAAACGGTGAAAACAGTGAAAACATTGAAAACGGTGAAAACATTGAAAACGGTGAAAACGGTGAAAACGGTGAAAACATTGAAAACGGTGAAAACTGTGAAAACGGTGAAGACGGTGAAGACGGTGAAGACGGTGAAAACGGTGAAAACGGTGAAAACAGTGAAAACGGTGAAAACGGTGAAGACGGTGAAAACGGTGAAAACGGTGAAAACGGTGAAGACGGTGAAAACATTGAAAACGGTGAAAACATTGAAAACGGTGAAAACGGTGAAAACGGTGAAGACGGTGAAAACAGTGAAAACGGTGAAAACGGTGAAAACAGTGAAGACGGTGAAAACGGTGAAAACGTTGAAAACGGTGAAGACGGTGAAAACGGTGAAGACGGTGAAAACATTGAAAACGGTGAAAACATTGAAACGGTGAAAACGGTGAAAACATTGAAAACATTGAAAACAGTGAAAACGGTGAAAACGGTGAAAACGGTGAAAACATTGAAAACGGTGAAAACGGTGAAAACATTGAAAACGGTGAAAACATTGAAAACGGTGAAAACGGTGAAGACGGTGAAAACGGTGAAAACGGTGAAAACATTGAAAACGGTGAAAACATTGAAACGGTCAAAACGGTGAAGACGGTGAAAACATTGAAAACGGTGAAAACATTGAAAACGGTGAAAACATTGAAAACGGTGAAGACGGTGAAAACGGTGAAAACAGTGAAAACAGTGAAAACGGTGAAAACAGTGAAGACGGTGAAAACGGTGAAAACAGTGAAAACGGTGAAAACATTGAAAACGGTGAAGACGGTAAAAACGGTGAAGACGGTGAAAACTGTGAAAACATTGAAGACGGTGAAAACATTGAAGACGGTGAAAACATTGAAAACGGTGAAAACATTGAAAACGGTGAAAACTGTGAAAACGGTGAAGACGGTGAAAACGGTGAAAACAGTGAAAACAGTGAAAACGGTGAAAACAGTGAAGACGGTGAAAACGGTGAAAACAGTGAAAACGGTGAAAACGGTGAAAACGGTGAAAACATTGAAAACGGTGAAAACGGTGAAAACATTGAAAACGGTGAAAACGGTGAAAACGGTGAAAACGGTGAAAACGGTGAAAACAGTGAAAACGGTGAAAACGGTGAAGACGGTGAAAAACGATGAAAACGGTGAAAACAGTGAAAACGGTGAAAACGGTGAAGACGGTGAAAACGGTGAAAACGGTGAAAACATTGAAAACGGTGAAAACATTGAAAATGGTGAAAACATTGAAAACGGTGAAAACGGTGAAGACGGTGAAGACGGTGAAAACGGTGAAGACGGTGAAAACATTGAAAACGGTGAAAACGGTGAAAACATTGAAAACATTGAAAACGGTGAAAACGGTGAAGACGGTGAAAACTGTGAAAACATTGAAAACGGTGAAAACGGTGAAGACGGTGAAGACGGTGAAAACATTGAAAACGGTGAAAACATTGAAAACGGTGAAAACGGTGAAAACGGTGAAAACGGTGAAAACGGTGAAAACATTGAAAACGGTGAAAACGGTGAAAACATTGAAAACGGTGAAAACGGTGAAGACGGTGAAAACTGTGAAAACATTGAAAACGGTGAAAACGGTGAAAACGGTGAAGACGGTGAAGACGGTGAAGACGGTGAAAACGGTGAAAACGGTGAAAACAGTGAAAACAGTGAAAACGGTGAAAACAGTGAAGACGGTGAAAACGGTGAAAACAGTGAAAATGGTGAAAACGGTAAAAACGGTGAAGACGGTGAAAACTGTGAAAACATTGAAGACGGTGAAAACATTGAAGACGGTGAAAACATTGAAAACGGTGAAAACATTGAAAACGGTGAAAACTGTGAAAACGGTGAAGACGGTGAAGACAGTGAAAACGGTGAAAACAGTGAAAACAGTGAAAACGGTGAAAACGGTGAAGACGGTGAAAACGGTGAAAACAGTGAAAACGGTGAAGACGGTGAAAACGGTGAAAACAGTGAAAACGGTGAAAACGGTGAAGACGGTGAAAACGGTGAAAACGGTGAAAACGGTGAAAACATTGAAAACGGTGAAAACGGTGAAAACATTGAAAACGGTGAAAACATTGAAAACGGTGAAAACATTGAAAACGGTGAAAACATTGAAAACGGTGAAAACATTGAAAACGGTGAAAACGGTGAAGACGGTGAAAACATTGAAAACGGTGAAAACAGTGAAGACGGTGAAAACATTGAAAACGGTGAAGACAGTGAAAACATTGAAAACGGTGAAAACGGTGAAAACATTGAAAACGGTGAAAACATTGAAAACGGTGAAAACGGTGAAAACATTGAAAACGGTGAAAACATTGAAAACGGTGAAAACGGTGAAAACATTGAAAACGGTGAAAACATTGAAAACGGTGAAAACGGTGAAAACATTGAAAACGGTGAAAACGGTGAAGACGGTGAAAACATTGAAAACGGTGAAAACAAAACTGTTTGTCACCTGAAGCTGTGGGAAGGAAGACAGAACGATGCTGAGGCCTGCAGTCCTGCTGCTTTAATCACTTTTATAAGTGTGTGTGTGTGTGTGTGCGCGCGTGTCGGGGTGTGTGTGTCTATGTGTGTGTGTGTGTGTGTGTGTGTGTCTATGTGTGTGTGTGTGTCTGTGTGTCTATGTGTGTGTGTGTTTGTGTGTGTGTGTGTGTGTGTGTTTCTATGTGTGTGTGTGTGTGTAGGTGTTTGTGCGTGTGTGTGTCTGTGTGTGTGTGTGTGTCTATGTGTGTGTGTGTGTGTGTCTATGTGTGTGTGTGTGTAGGTGTTTGTGCGTGTGTGTATGTGCATCTCCCTCCGTCTCTGCAGACAGGAACTGCAAACTAGAAACAAATGGATCGTCTGCATGTCTGAATCCATTAATGTTGAACTGATTTTCAGTTTAATGCCGCAATATTGATTCATAAAACATTTAAATTAAGCGTTAAGAAGTTTTTCTCTAACCTTTCTGTGTCCTGATGAAATGTTTGTTACATTTCTATAAATGAGTTTTAAATGCTGACATAGACTCTGAGAAATGTCAGTAAATTTGCTGGTTTGGTCTGATGGAAGTGCACTGGGTTCAATTCTTGATTGAAATATTTATATCTTTACTAGTGAGGTTAGTTTCTACTATTTGCAATATTAGTTCTTCTGGGAATATCTTCCATATCCAGGTAAAATCAGTGCTGTGTGAACCAAAAATCAATAAAATCAAGTTGATTTTGGTAAGTCTGCACTGATGAAGGTACCTCTCCTCCTCTCTCGCTCCAGCAGGAGGTGCAGAGACGTCAGCAGGTGAAGGCGATGGAGATGATTGTGGACGCCGAGCTCCAGCAGGTCGTATTCTGACAGGTGCAGCAGATCCTGGAAAACATCACAAACAAACGTAACCTTAACTCTTTCATGCATGGATTATGATCCTTTGTGTCAGGATTTTTTTCTAGTTTTTTGTCTTCTTAAGGCATAAAATAAAAAGATAGGGAAAAAACAAAACTCTCATCTTTCCCAGCAGCCGTTGTACAGAGGCAAAATCAGCTGACCAAACATGCTGGAGCTCAGATTGGGAGGCTAGGTAACAGCGCCGTAATGTCACTTAACAGCTGGGAGGTTTTTCCAAACATATGTTTTTGTTTTAACATCAACTTAAAAAAAACATAACCTGATGTTTCTTGGACTCAGTAGAAGAATAAAAATGTCCAAATTCTTGTTCACACAAACAAAAACACCAAATCTCTGCAACAAAAATGAATTTTTCTGTAACCAATACAGAAGTGGTGCAATTCACAGTCACATCAGAAGTCTGAAAATGCAACGCTCCAGCTGATCATTGCGGCTAACAAGCCCAGACAGCTCAGTAATAACATGCTGGCTAAAATACATTCTCCGATCTATCCCCAAATCTCCCGCCGCCATCTTTCTCATCTCCTGTCGCACAGAACAGCAAGTTGACATGTTGTCTTTTGTCTTTCTCTTCCAGATCGCACAGCGCAGAGCAACAGAAAAAGCCCTCATACCACCATTTGGAGAGTTGATACAGGAGTCCAGAGATGTTGGTTTTGCTTGGGTAAACGTTCGGCTCGATGCAACAAAGAATGAGTGAATGAAGAAAATGAAAAGATGGGGCAGCGATGCAGAAATGCTTCTGGAGCCACTTTATACAGCAGATTCTAGCTGCATGTTTTAAAATCAGGAATAATAATGATCCATGTCAGTGTTTTCAATAATTCAATCAGAAAATATTATTTATTCCAAGTTTCTGCAACATTTTAAAGACCGATGCAGATTTGGCTAACAAGTTACATTTACATGAGTAACTTTATTGAAAAACTATTTTTACTGCACCATATTTCTATTTTTACTTGACTAATTTTATTATAAACACACAACCTGCAGTTTTTATTACAGTTTTATCGAAAGAATCTGATGTGGAAAGATTTATTTTCCCCAATTTTTATACTTTCTGTTTAATATATGAATAATTTTTCATTTTTGTCTTTAAAATACCAAAATGTTCACATAAGTTTATATTTTGGTTCACCTAATGTAATTTTTATATAATCAATAATTGGTAAAACGTTCACTGAAGTAATGAGTAACTTAAAATTATGAAATACTTTTTTACTCTTTCTTGAGTGATTTCTTGGACGGCGACTTTTTACTTTTACTTGAATACAATTTTTGGACCTGTGGACATGGAACATGGAAAATCAGATTGAAGAGGAAGGAAATCTGCTCTTAAGTTTTTATCTTCTCTCTACTGATAATTGAAAACGAAAGAAAATATGATGAACCTAAACCATTAATCAACAATTTTGTTTTTCAGCTACTTCTCGTTTATAAGCCGGTTCGTTTTGGCATTGCAGTGTCAGCAAAGAACAACAGTTCAATCGTAATAAAAAGCACTTATAACAGTTAATGGTGCAAAACATTTATTACAACTGCAGTCAAAACAAGATCATCAGTCCTGATTGGTCGACCTGGGAGAGGAATCATCATGAGGGGCTAATCAGCCAATCAAAAGCTCTCACGATCGTGGTTAGCAAAGAACCCAGGTGCAAAGACCTTTTTAATAATCAAGTAAATTTACAATAAAAAATGAATTAATTAAATGAACCAGGTCACAAAAAAACTGACAAAATAATTTCAGAGATGCAAAAATAGAAGAAACAGAAAATAATGAAGAAGGAAACTAATGCAAAGGAATAAACATCTACAGCAAGACCTTAGAGGCAATACTAACTGAGTATGGCAAGACCTAATGGGTAATAATAATGGTTTCCTGCCACAATAATTGGTTTTACAAAAAGGAATCTACAAACAAAATTTTGCAGTAGTTAAAAAGGCTTTTATTATTTATTATCATCTGAAGTAAGACAGAAAGTTTTTGGAAATAAAAGCTCAAAATCGAGGATGTTTGACAAAACAATAATTTATGGTAATTTTTGGATCAATAGATCAGATTGTTCAGCAATCATCATTTTATCTGTGATGCATTAATACAGTTAATAATTTGGAGCTACGAAGAGTAAAAAAACAGTAAAGTCCTTTGGCACATTGTGCATGTTGGAGGTTGTTGGTGGAGTTGCCAGAAACAGAAACTGATGTTTGTCTTGGAGCCACTGAGTCGGACGTTCTTGTTACAATACGCAGATGGAGTTTAGCTGCACTAAGATCATTACAACAAGCAACGGTCACAAAAACAGTTGACAGTTTGCAACAGTAAATTATGATTTTTTGTCAGTTTCTAGTGCAGATATCTTCATATATTTGAAATAAGACAAAACTAACGAACAAGTTACTCGTAAGTTTAATTTTTCTTATTTCAAGTGCAGCAAGATATTTGAACTGGAAACTTGACTAAAAGGACTTGATAAGGTTTTGCATTTTTGCAGAGTATAATTGTTTTTTCACTTGAAATTAAAGAAAACAGAGAAATTCAACCAACATACTAAAATAATTAAAAACTTTTTTTTCCTCGAATTTGAAGATATTTAAGTTTCATCGAAAGTTTGTGTTAATATCATTATGTGGGACTAGAACCTTAAACACATTTTTCTGTTTGTAATTCTTTCCACCACCAGTTTCCCATCCTATAATTACTTCCTATGTTCATGCAAAGCTTTAGCAGCGGGGAATGGAGTAACTAATGTCTTCCACTGGCTCATCCCTCAGCAAATAGCAGCTCAGGATTCAGAAAGAAGAAGCTGGTAAATGTCTGGATGTAAAAACAGCCTCTGCTCCGTCAGGGGCCATTCGGCGTAATAGGCCCCTGATCCACTTTTATTGGGCTGCTTTATTAAACTGCTGTGGGAAACACTCTTAAAAACCACCTCTCCTCACACTGGCATTCTTAGAGTGGGGATGTTTTCTTCCACAGAAGTTACTGCAGCTCCTGAATGGCCAGGATTGTTTTAAAATCCTCGATTCAACTTCACTTCTTTAGAAATACTTCATGTTTTAAGACTCCGGCGGAAAACAAAGTGCCTTTTATCTGAATACCACAGTTCCTCCAGAATAAATCTATGTCAGGGTTATGCAAATGTTGCATCATCTTTAGTTTCAGAATGAAAGACAAAAGAGATTTGCACAAGCAAATTAAAATTAGAATAAAAATTTGGAATCAATTTGCCAGAAATATTGAAGATCACGTCATAATGCAGATTTGTACTGGTTGTTCACATAAAGTCCCAATGAAATTATTTTTGGTTTTAAAGAGACAAAATGTGAAATAGTTGAAGCCAGGCCCTCCAGGTTGAAAAACAAAAACTCTTTTCATACTAAAATAACTGTGAAAATGATGACAGCAACAAACTAAATTGTTTCTCTGCAACTATAGAAACCAAATCAGCTTCATCAACCTTTGGAAATGTAATTTTTATGCATGCAAACATGTGGTAGTATTACCTCTACACCATCATATTCCTGCTCCAACAGCATGCAGTACTGCGGGAGTCCAAGTTGGCTCAGCCAGCGGGAAATGGATTGGTGCTTCATGGCGATGCATATGCACCTGAAGAACACAAGAAAACAGAGAATCCATTCATTTCTCACAAAAATAAAAGAACTTTTAAACTCTCTAAACGTCTGATGACATGTTTTAAGCAGCTGTTGCATTCAGTCTGAGCCACGGGAATTAAACCAACAACACTCAGGCCAAGTGGCCTTTCACAGCTAAATGCAATGGGATTCATCAAATCACTTTAAGGTTTCAGACAACGCGCTCTGACATGAATACTTTACAATCACAACATTTCTTAGGAGAAGAAACAACAACAAAACAAACACAGATTTGCAGCAGGAATAGACAGAATACAGATGAATCAATGCAAGACGAATTTCCTGGTTTAATGTAGCCTGAAGGACTTTACACACGTCCAGCTGTTTGGAAATTTCACAGCTAATGAAAACATTTTACTGGTTTTCAAAACTGATTTTGCTGAAGAAAAAAAAAAAAACCTGACAACTTTGTCCAGCAAGTTGCTTCCACTGCCATCAGCCTGCTTCACGTTAGCACCGCTAGCTAAAAGGTTAGCTAAAGCTAAAGCTGCAATTATAGACATTAGCTGCATTGCTTGGTTTATGTTATTCTCAACACAATAACAAATCAGTGTCACAGTTGTTGATTATTGCCAACTGCAGGATAATCAACAGATTTTAAACCATTTTCTCACACTTCAAAATAAGAGCATGAAAACGTCAAACTGCCCAAAGAAACCTTAACAGCCAACTGTAATTGAGTAAATGTAAGTAGTTTCCACCGACTCTGAGAATGAAACCAGTGATTCCTCCTCTTCATCCGGCCGTCTGCAGTCGGGATGAGCGAGACGTGGGTGGCAGGGCACACATGGAGCTGAAGGCTTTACGGCCTCCTTGCTTTATGCATGTGCATGTTTTTATTCCGCATGTGCGGGGAAAGACGCGCCATCAGTAAAACACAGCAAAGAAAGCTTTCTGAGACTGAGCACGTGTGGTAAACCGCCTCCTCACCCCTTCCAATCCCAGTAAGAGATGTCACTAAAGGTTATCAGAGAAGCGGCTCTCTAGGATTCTTTCACAACCATCCATCATGTGGATCATTTGCATCTGATTCACCCCTGGGCCAAAAGGAGGTCAGATGGAGGATGGACTCCTGTCGGTCTCCCAGTGTTCCCACTTTACCTTGATAAAGACTGGAGGTCATTCCAGTCTGTCATTCACACTGAGATGCTCAGTATTACCAGCTTTATGTTTCATGTTTTTCAAAACAAGTGGAGCATTTTTTAAAGTTGGGTTGAGAAGAACCACTTCTTATAGAAGTGGTTCTATAAGAATACCTGCAACCTTTCAGAAAATGTTTGGAGAAATTCCAGTGTAGATAAAGAGCTGTTATCTACGGCGGCCCTGCAGTGCAAACGATTCACTCAGCACAAATGCAAATCAAAGGAGTATTTTCTATAGTGCCATTTTATAGGAGAATCAAGTAACTATGCTAACTTCATTATAAAAAATTATTTAATAGAAATCATTTTTGCAATTTAACTCTTTAAAATTGGGTCGCTGTCTCTTTAAAAAAAATCCTGCTCTTTCTGAAACTCTGTCTTCAGGCAGTCATCACAACATGGCTCCTTTATTGACCCTTTAACAGCATTTTTACCAGCGTTGCTCTGGGAAGTCGCTCCTATAACGAGCTCAGCGCCAGGTGTTTGCTAGCTGCTGGTGGCTAGTCTGAAGGAGCTGAGTGGGAAGTCTGGGAAGCTCCTTCAGAGAAACTGCACCTCCGAGGAGGAGCCGCGCCTCGAATGCGGCGCTCGGTCCATCCAGCTGTTTCGGATGGCTGAAGGGAGATTAAAGGGTTTCCAGGTATGTTTTTGATGAGGGAATGACTTTATAACAAAATGTAAATGTAAAAAAGTCCATTTAAAGTAATGCTGCTCCTTTAAGAAAACACATAGCAGCAGTCATCACCCCTGCTATTAATACTTGGGACAAACTGAGTGCTCCATTAAAAAATACATTATATTCTACTGTTTTTCTCCCATAAGTTCATGTTTACTTTTTAAGCAGAAGTTGACCAAAACACTCATACATACAAAGCTTTTGGCATCATTTGCTGTTTCATTATAATCTCAGAGATGCACTTCATGCTGATGTTGCAGGAAGGTCCCCTAATCTTTCTCCCTCCAGTTAATCCATCATCTAATAACCCTCTTAACATTCCTGCAGAACACTTTAATGCAGAATCAATGACATCTAGCAAACTTTCTGCAAACTATTAATCTCAAACATAAACACTTTGACTTTGCTGCAGAAGATTTTTGTTTTTACATAATATCCCATTTAATGCTTAATAATTTAATGCTTTGACTTTCTTGTAACCAATTTTGATCAAATGGACAAAAATAACAGTTTAAAGAAGAAACTAATTGAGCAAGAATGTGGCTGTTTAAATATTTTTATCACAATCTTATGGAGTATTGATTTAACTGCTTGAAGATGAAAAACATTTTCCTGACTGACTTTGACTTGTAACAAAAACAAAATTGGATTCTTGCTCTTTTTTCCTCAATCAGCAAGTTGTTTGTTGAAAAAAAAACCAGTCACAATTTTTCACAGAATTGTAAACTACTAACTCTATCAAGAGTTTATATCCATAACCGTCTTTAGTAAAACCATTTCAATTGGCGAAAATGTAAAATCAAGAGTTTTGACCATCTGGAAAACGAAGCTTGTTGAACTTTCCTTACGCAAGTCACTGGAAGTTTAGTTTCTTTTTTTTTTTTTCACTGCCTTTAAGATCTAAACTACGGCTGCAAAATAAATCAAGAACTTGAAAAATACAAATAAAAACTGTGTGAATGGAGAAAATGAGAGCAACTGCTTCAGATGTAAATGAGGATAAAACAGAAAAGGTTGCATCGCCAGTTGGGCAAAATCTCAGATATTTCAAGCAAAAAAAAAAAAAAACAAATCAATAGTTATCGACATTGACTGATATGAAAACCTTATTTTGTGATACATTTCTCAGCCACATTGTCCTGCTCTAACCTAAAATGTCAGTAGTTTGAGGTAGAAACGTCTCAGTGAATCAGAAACAAACATCGGCCCCATAAGCTCACACAGCAGGATAATCCGGTTTGTTTTGGAGTCGTAAGCCGTTCACACAGAATAAAATTAGTAACAATGCAAAAAATAATGATAATAATCTCCTTTTAGCATCAACATAAACAAATTGGAGTTGAGCCTCAGTGAGATCAGTGAGCATTAGCAGAAACACATTTAAGCTGGTAAAACCTGGTAAACAGTGTAGACTATTATATTTACCAGTCACAACAGCTACTAATACTTTCACTTCTTTAAAAGGAAATTAGTAAGTAGATTAACGTCCAACTGCGTCTACGTGATTAAAGATGAGCCATCAAGTCTGAGAGGTTTAACAACTGGAAATAAGCGAGAGGTACGCATGGCAGTGAAACCACGCTGCCTCCTTGTTCATCTTTTACTACAGACATCAAGCCTTTGCAGCGCATCTTTCAGCCAGATGATGGGAGTTATGGCCGAGCAGCCAAGACTACTGAACAGATGTGCGTTGTTTTTGGAGCGTGAAGCTTCTCCCCGACTATCAGTGGTTTATCTTGTAAAATTTAAGGGGTTACACATGGCTGGTTGGAAAAGGTTGGAGGATAAGAGGGGGGACATGTAGGGAGAATTATATCGATGGATTTGGGAGGAAAACAGTCAAAACTTTTTAGTTTTTAAATTTTAAATATGCTCATTATTAAAGAACAAGCATGACCTAAACTCTGTCCCTCGGGAGTTTGTCTTCCTCTCCTCTTCCTGTTGTTTGACCTCAGCTGTTTCCCATGACCACATGTCTCTAGAGCATCCAGTTTATCCTGGAATATAAATAGGCTCACGCGTTTTATGATCTAAACAGGCCTGGCTGTTTGACAAATACTCGCCACATACCAAAGTAACGATGGCAGGCAACAAACTCAGAGAGCAGAGCGGCTAATGCAACATTGGAGGACAATTTCCCCTTTTAGCCACTCCGCAGTGCCAGCGCTGGCCGTCCTCTGGAGTCCAAGGGCATCCATTTCAACAATCACATTACCCTGACGAACAATCCAGCCAATTCAATTAGGCTGCAGAAATAACATCAGCACCACCCAGATTCCTCCAGCTCCTGGTGTTGTGATGCTGGAAGATTTGAGCTGAAAATCAGCTTAAATGAAACCAAATGTTTCCAAATCAAAGCAAGCTTGGACTATGCAGAGGTGGATTTCTTTGTAGATACATTTTAACTTCACTAATTAAGATGCTATTTTGAACCAATTAAGTAAGTGTATTTCTATAACACATTTCAGCAACAAGGCAAAATCATAAAAATACAAAATCAACAATTGAAATATTACATTTTCCAGCTGCCGTCGCTACACATTAAAATGTTGATTTTCATTTATTATGTTTCAAAAGCAGCTCTGACCCAGTGGGTTTTAGCTTAGATTTAAAGGAACTCAGTATTTCGGCTGGTTTTCAGTTTTCTGGAAGTTTGTTCCAGATCTGTGGTGCATAGAAGCTGAATTTTGCTTCTCCATGTTTGGTTCTGGGATTCAGACCAGAACCAGAAGACCTGAGCGGTCTGGAAGGCTGCTATGACAACAGCAGCAGTGTAGTGGTTCCTACTTTTAAAACTTTATTTTAAAGTTCATTCTCTGGAAGGACTGTAGAACTGGGCGATGTGCTCTAACTTCCTGGTTTTAGTCAGAACGCCAGCAGCAGCGTTCTGGATCAATTTTCTGATTGATTTGTTAGTCAGACGTGCAGCAATAAATTCCACTACAGATAAACACAGTGGATGAGTTTCTCCAGATGTTGCTGAGACATTAGTCCTCTAATCCTGAAATGTTCTTCAGGTGACAGAAGGCTGACTTTGTAACTGTCTTTATGTGGCTCTGAATGTTCGGGTCAGAGTTCATCACTATCTAAGGCAGCATTCAGACAGAGGATGTTTGGTACAGCAGTAATGGTATCAAGGCCAAATATTTCAACTTCATCAAACTGCAGGATGTGTCTGAAAAATACAAAGTTTTAGTTCCTACTTTTAAAACTGCATTCTTGCTTTTTGTGTTGGTTTTAGAGGAACATCATCTTCTTTGCAGAGCAGCATCTCAAACACTGAGAGAAAAAGGTTCTGCTTTTTATTCAGTGACTATAAATATCTGAGTTAATTTTACCTGAATGAATTAGTCAAGTAAAAAACGACAAACAACACAAAGGCAGGTAAACCCTTTCACCTACTTTTCTGCTTTACCCACCACTATTCTCATCTTTCTTTTCCCAGTTCTTTCTGTTCCTTCCTCTGGAATTACACCAGCTGCATGCTTCCTTTGCTTCTTTTTGTGTCATTTTGTCCTCTATCTCATGCTCAGAGCATTTTACAGACGGATAACACGCAACTTTGTAACTTTCGTGTCTGCACGCATTTGCAGACGCTGCCAGAGGCAGTCGATGAAAATCACAGCTTCTGGAAGCTCCCTGTGCCCATCTCGGTGTCAGGCTCCCCGCTCAGGCTCTTGCTCTGACACACAGGTGCACAGAAAGCATGGCTGGACTTGCAGCTAAAATGCCACAGAGCAGCAAACATCTCAGTTCTGCGACATGCCAGCCAACTTTCACCATACATCAGTAATTTACATTTGGCTTAAAGTTTTGCCTTGAAGGGTTGTTTCTTTTCTGCTCTGATCTCACATTAACTTAATGTTTCCTTTGATGTTTATTTTCACAGGTTTATTATTTACTTGTTTGAAATCGACTGCAAACTTATTCCTTTAAATCTTCTGTACTTTTTCTTCAAAATCATTATTTATGCAAGAGTAGAAATCCAACAACAATATGATGTTGCTCCCATTTTTCTCAGCAACCTGGACAGTTTATTTTTTTATGCATTAATGAAAGCAATCTAAACTTAGGTCTGACTAAATAAATCATCCAGAAGCTTATGGAGTGAGAGAAAAGTAAGAGAAACATAAGCTCTGAAACTTGGCAAACAACGACTGCAGCATTGATTAGACTCTAAAGATGCACAGCCAATTAGGCAAAGATCGGAATCAGATTGTTTTTCCCTATTGATCGGTTTTGGTCAATGACTTGGAAGTCAAATACAGGAAAATGTGTGTTTCTCTCCAATCATTAAATGCAACAAAAGCAAAAACTTACACTCTTTTAATGCTATTTAAACGACAACATGTTCAGTTTAGTGTTTCACAAATATCTGGTGCTTTAGGAAGAATTGCAAACAGAATTGAAAATAATTGGGATATTTTTTTCATTTCTATCACCTCTGAAACCTCAAAGAAACTTTAAATTATTAGTATTGATTGGTGCATATCTTAATGTCTACTGAATAAACAGTGGTCGAAATCAAATTAGTTTAAGTGAAACACTTATTAATATTTGAATTGCTCATTTTTCAGAAAATTGACAGTACAGTAAGTCAAAGCCACATTGCTTTAGACTAAAATCTTTAAAAATAAACAGCTTCCGATGCCAGTTTAACACCCCACGCAGTAAATACAGTCATTCTTTGTTAAAATTACATGCATATGCAGAATGAAAGTGTGTCTTACCTTGAGAGCTGATAGCGGTTTGCAGACCTGCAGGTTTGACTGCAGGAGCTGCAGAGCTGCTGGTTTGGATCCTGCGCTGCAAAGTTCAGTCAGCGGACTAACAGGGTGAGTTACTGCCGACAGCCAGATGAAGCCTGCAGGGAGAAGCAAAACCCGAACCGTCCTGTCACAATCAGGAGGGAGTTTCTGCCCTCATGCACGGAGATAAATGTTTCCCCACATCAAACCTGCCTGCATGCCTGCGCAGACCAATAAAAGAAGCTGCAGAGCGTTTGGCTGGGGTTACCTTCTGATGCCTGAGGGGAGGGGCGAGTATGGGGCTGTTTGTGAAGTCAGTCAAAAAAAAAAAAAGCATCAATAATTTGGGTTATTTTTAGCCTTTCATAAGAGGTAAAAATGCTTCCTTTTTCAAAGATATGTATTTATTATGTGATTCAGTCACAGTTTCAAGCTAAATATTTAGTTATCAAATTATTTAACTAAATAGTTAGCTCACTAGCTAACTAAATATTTAGTTATCAAGTTATTCAACTAAATAGTTAGCTCACTAGCTAACCAAATATTTAGTTAGTAAGCTCTATATTAAATATTTATCTATCAAACTACATATTTAGTTTGAAAGCTATTTAGCTAATTAACTAAAGCTAACTATCTGAGCTAAGCTGAACATTTTCCTCAGTGATTTTGCACATTAGTCAAATATTTAGCTCAGAAATTTGAAACTAAAAGGTGCTTTGTACAAAATAAGATAGTTTTCCTTTTTTGAGCAGAGATGCACAAGGAGGCGATGGCCAGGCTTGCAACAATTCCTCTTTTCTTCTTCTTCTGATTTTAATGGCAGCTTTCATCCATTATTGTTGCACTACTGCCATCTGTTGGATCTTAATTAACCTAAAATTCTCCCAATGAGCTCATTATTTTTAAAAAACGAAAAATCTTCTCTTTCAACATTTACTCTCATGCAAATCTGCTTCATGTAAATGTAATCTACTGGTGGTTCAAGTCCAGCAGGGGGCGCTGAGGAGTCTTATAGCCAGTTTGGTATTGCAATGAAAGCAAATTATTCAAATTGTAAACTTTAGGTAATTATGCTTGTTTGCAACCGTAGCAGCAAATTGTAGTTTTCTGTGCTTTTAAATCTAAAAAAAGCAGAAAAACAAACTATATTGTTAAAGAAATGCAGAGTAAGATGTTCCATCCTGACAATGAATCTTTTAACTCTGAAGGGACTTAATTAAATTATGGTTTACAAATGCATTGCTATTTTTCCTGCAGCTGAAGAGACAAAAACAATCCAGTTCACAACAAATTAGTTTTTTATACTCTAAATTTACACTGAACATACATCCAAGGGTTGCTTTCACTGGATATTAGTATCCAGTTTAATCAAATTAATTTCATTCCCCAGAAAAGCTACAAAATAAAGCTTTTGCAATCAAATTATTGAGCCATACAAGTAAAACATATTCATTTTCATTTGCACACAAGTCCACATCTGGCAGACTGCATGTCATTAAGACTTTGTTTTTTCTCATCTGCTGCCCTCTTGTGGTATTTAAAGTTAGAACAATTCCCCAAATTACTGGTTTCATTTCTCCTAAGTGATCCTGTTAGTTTTATTTGTTAAAAAAATCAACAAGTCTGACAGAAGATTTATCCTACTTCAACACGGTGGTATAAAATAAATCAAACAAACATTTAAAAAAAATCCAACATGCCTGTAAAATGGATACAATGGATTACTGTTGAGTCAGTAGAATATAATTTATAAATTATATAATCAGACACAAAACTTTTGAAGACTAAACTAAAGATTTTCCAGAGTGATAATTAGAAAATAACCAAATCAGGCAAAAACAAATCAAATGTTTTTCAACGTCAACGTTTTGAAGTGAGTTTTTACAGTAGGTTATTCAACTAATGTGCATTAAAACAGAAAATAGGCAACTTCTAGTAACAATATACTGTTTAAATAGAACAATAACAGCAAATATGAAAAGCAAAGGAAGCCAAAGATTGTTTACAGGAAAACTGAAAGACAGTCTAAATGTACCCAAGATATATTTTTAATAAACAACCAAATAACACAAAACTTACTTTGGTCGTTAAATAGTTAAACCAATCAAAGGAAGTTATCAGCCTGAAGAGCCAATCAGAATCAAGAGAGGGCGGGCTCTTCGTTGTTATTGTCAGCTCTCTTCCTGTTTCACATGAAATCAATAAACGGCATGAGGAAGACGGAAAAAGCGAAGCTCGTAACAATAATGTAAGTACTTTAGTTCGCTACTACGACTTTTATTGTATGTAAAAGATGATTTAGAACCGGAATGGGAGTGCAGTGGTGATGTAACTGACTGTTTGGGTTTATTTTAAGGAAGCAGAGCTGCTGCTGCTGCTCACAAGACCTCAGCATGTGATATCGATTAGTGAAGACATTCATCTTCTGCAGCCAATAAGCTCAACTAGGTTTTAGCTTCAACGCCCAGAAACTGCAGGGTTCGTTCTGTTTTGATATTGGCAATAATAATAATAATGGTGAAAAGTTTGGACTAAATTTATTCTTTAAAGATGTAAATGATAATGAGGATTTAATTATTTTAGCAGCTTTCCCATATTATGTAAATTATGATAGATTTTTTTTCTGATTTTAATATTTCTTGATGACCAAAGGATAAATTAACTGTGCTACAGGGTCTTCCATTGAGGTAGTAGTTTTACCTCTAACAGAAAATGATTTATGCAGCAAAACGACCTGACCACCGTCTGATTTTCTTCGTTTTTAGCTCAAAACAATGAATCAGAGTTTATCGTCTGCAAATATTTTAGTTCTTAGTTTTGATACTTTTAATGTATTGAATATTTCAGAACTGCAACAATAAAAAAAAGCATTTTTGCTGTCTAATTTCTTCAATATGTCAATGGAAGTTCTGAATTTGATCAGTGAATATGATGAGATTTTCCTATCGATTGTTATTTTCCAGCTGTATTCCAATGGATGAAGTCTGCAGAAGAGTAGTTTAACCAAACAGAGTGGAAAGAACAGCAGTTTGTATTTAAATTTACATCTTCAAACTCGGAGCAAACATGGTGCATGTCTACAACTGCCATCCTTTCACTTCACAGCAGATTGTGCAGGTAAATGAACTGATGCTGAGCCAGATCAAATAACAAAAACAAACGAAAAAACAACACTTCTTCAACATGTTGCTCAGGTGGAACAGGAACCTGGACTCGTGTGCTGTGGAGGCGGAGCGCTGTTTGTTGTGACAACAGGAGGATGCAAGGTACAATTAAAGTATTCCCCATTTTTATCCTGTCTTATTTGTGACAAAGTGTTGGAAATAAAGACAAAACATTCTGTTCATTGTAGATATATTCATTCAAGCGTAGCTGAATAAATATATAAACATTATTTTATTAGGTGCAATTTCACAGGTTCTTTTTTAAAAATAAATTGTATATATGGTGTATATGTGACCGGTGGACTTCTGCGTTGTGTGTGTGGTGATCGGATGAACCACAAAGCATCAAGTCTGGGTTTGGAGGCAGTCTGCGTTTATTGATCTGTCAATCGGGAGATATTAGCATTAGCACATAACATGTGCTCCAGTTCTCCAGCCCAATCTATACAACATAACAATGTTATAAAGGAGTAATAACTCAAATGAAAATATTCAAACACATATAATCAGCACAGATGGAAAAATAAACATTTGAAGAATATGAATGAAAGGGTACCAATGGACCACAAAACGTGCCTCTTCCCAGTGGAACAAATAACAAAAGGGAAGAGGAAATGAATAACTTCATATTGTAATAATTCTGGAGGACCCTGAACAAAAGAAGAAAGTGAGGCAGAGCTGGAGGACCAAACCCCCCATAACTGAGACAGAAGAACACAAGAACAGCCAGATGAAAACTGACAAATGCATTAAAGAAAACATTTTTGTGTAAATATATAACTATTAATATAGACCCAGTTACATATAGGTTTTAGTTATTTTTACATGTTATGTTTTTTTGTGAGTTGTTTATTGTAAATGGTCATTTGCTGAGTGTGATGGAGTATTTGGGCCATTGTAGACAGAACAAAATGGAGGAGTGCATTTGCACCAAAACATTTTTAGATTAATTTTAGAAAATTTTCTGGAAAAAAAACTTTAAAATTTCTGAGTTTTTTCTGCAAATCTTGTTTTACTTTTGGAGCTCAGAAATGTTCTTGTTTTTTATAGAATATTTCTGAGATTACTGAGAAAATGTTTTGCTTTTTGACTGAACTTTACTAAATGTCCCCCATGGCGGGATTAATAAAGTTTACTTAACTAGCTAGCGCGACGATGCTAGCTATGGAGCTAGCTATCTAGTTAGTACTAGCTAACTAGCTGGCTAGCGCGTCGTTGCTAACTAGCTAGCTACCTAACTGCTCTTGAGAGTGATGCTTTATCTGACTGTTAGTATTTGTAAAGGATATTAATATCTGTGTTTTAACTGGACCCAGGTGGAGGTGTACAATTTGGAAACAGAGGGCTGCCCTCTCATATGCCGTTTTGCTAGCATGGGCACCGTGAGGAGGATCCAGCACAGCTCCATCGGTTCGGTCGCTTGCTCTCTCTCTCCTGTCTTTTCCCAGAAAATTATGCACACTTCTTTAGAGAACAGCAAGCTTAGAGAACTTACTTTTCATTTTTGTTTCAATGTATTTAAGTTTGAGGGGTTAAAGTGAGAATACATGGAGATGATGGAGGTGTGTAAATGCTTTTTGAAGACATTCTTTCTTTAGGCAGCCATCTTTCTTTTTTCCTCCCCCAGTGCTTTTGCAAAGCAGTTGTTTGGAAAATGCCAAATGACAGAGTAATTAATCATAATGCCTCTGATTGCTTCTTTCAGGAGACTACTTGGTAACCATAGAAGAAAAAAACAGCGCCACCTATCTGAGGGTTTACACAAACTGGCGGCACCAGGTATGCTGCTTATTTTTTCCTTAAATAGTTAATATTTGAACATAATTTTTACCTTTTTGGTATAAATGGAACTGGGGAATGACCAGTTATTAGAAATGCACCGTGGTGCATTCAGGTGCTTGTTTAATGCCATGTGGTGCATTCAGATGCTGACAGTCATCTCTGTTTTGGCTTCTGTAAGATGCTCAGCCTGGTTTGATGA